AAAGACCAGCCTAACATCACGAAATTACTTAAGTAGCAAGCTAAATCACTTCCAGCTAGCTATTTCTAGTTGGTGTCGCATTAATGTTGGTAAATCCTAACTCTTTTCCATCATAGACTTCCATATAGGTGTGACTAGAGCCCGAATTAGTACCTTTAGACGTACAGGAGTAGGTTACATGCTCTACGCTAAGTAGTCTTCTATAGTCATTCCATCGATGCCAAAGGTGCTTCCAATTCCAGTTAAGATATAATCCTTTACTACAGCCCATAGTTGTGTATCACCGCTTCTTTCATTACTTCAGTTTTGGTAGTATAGTATCACCCTTCCAAGCAAGTACCTAACACCATTCCACATTAGGACTTATGCGCACGATTCATTAATCATCTTTCCAAGCAAGTACCCCACAAGTTAGGTGTAGGGATGTTGGTATTGCCGAATATGGAGGTGGTAGGATGTTGGTATTGCCCTGCGTCACCCCAACTTGAGGACTTACATGCACGATCTTCTACTGCCTAGACCTTCTGTGATGTCGCTGTCACACATAATGCCTTCATTCCACAACTTGGTCTCTTTTTGGGAACTTCTTATTCTGGTTTCGTACTGCACTTGGACTTTCCACAGGGCTTCGCATCCGATTATGGCCCCATAGATTACAGAAACAAATTATTTAATTTGCCTCCAGCCTGACTTGAACCGTTGATCTTGTCTGTGGGGGTTTGGAAGCTTAACCAATAAGCTATAGGACCCAAACTCTATAAATATATCTTTATATTAGTGATACTTATACAATATTAATAATATTTTTTCATACATAAATAATATCCAAGTTTAAATAGATATTTACTTGATCCACATATCTCGCAATCGATCACTTTTTTTATGACCCTTTAGAGTCACTCCTTCGGCCTGCAGAGCAATAGTACTTCGAGCCTACCTATATTCCATGTGTGTCTCAATATAATGAACTACACAACCACAATAATTAACAGAGCAAGAAAAATATATGCTGATAGTGGTGACATTAAAGTGTTTGCTACAGCAGGAAGAGACAAAGCCTTGAGACTAGATCTCATCTGGGCATTCAATTTAATCAAAGAGGACATATGTGGTTTAGCACTAATTTCACTAATGCTAGTTTTATCGCTTACCTTGGGGTTGATCTTGGTATCATTTTTTAGTAGTTCGGTAATCTCACCATCAATTTTTTCTATTGAATCCATATTTTTTCTGTGTACAAAATATTTACTAAGATTTTTATTAGAATTGCTAACAGTAGAAATATTATTATTTTGCAGTGGGAATTCATCTCTACTAGAATTTGATATAAAACTTTGTTTCTTGCTCTGTATATTTTTTATTGTGAAAACAATAGGCTCTGCCTCTCGACATCCCGCCAATTACAGATTTCGATATAGCCTCCGATTTCAGATTCTCGAGTTCACTAACTGCTGAAGCTAATTCTTATTTTAATTTAGCTATTTTGGATTTGAGAGATGTGATCTTAGTTTCTTTTTTCGATAAGTCATTTTGAATTGAAATCACATCTTTCTGGGCTGAAGACAACTTACTTTCCAATATTTTGATCATAAACTCGAGTAATTTAATTTTCTTGGATTTCATAACATTCTCAGCCTTGAATTCAGCAATATAAATATCCTTTTGTGCGTTATGAGAAATAATATTAGTATTTTCATTTTGTATTTGCTTATGCTCATTAATAACCTGCAAAGTGTGGGTGCGTAACTTTTGAATCTTGGTATTATTTCGTAACGAATTTCGATTTCACCTCTTTCTTTCTTGATCAAACGCCTTCATTTGCTTTATGTATTTATTCTGCAATTTCTCACTAAGCTTATTAATTTTGGTTTTGGACTTGATAGCATTGTGTATTTTTTTTTTTAGCTCTTCTTCGCGTATACTACCAAGTTGATGACCTTTAATATTTTGAAATGTATGTATATTAGCTAATATATTAGCATCTTGTGCTTGCTCTGCTAAATAATAGATAATATATAAAAAATGAATAAGACACAAAAAGTAAAATATATCTCCAGTAAATATTATTTTTTATATATCTATATATTTTTAAATATAATAAAACATTTTGAAATATTCTAAGATATTCTGGAATATTTGTATATTTTTCATTATATATCAACTACTATATGTATAACTAATATTTCAAAATATTTCGATACTTTTTGAAACTTTTCTTTATATGTGATAATAAAAATATTTCTGCAAAGCAGAACATTTACATAGTTGATATGGGACGTATCTATAAAAAATATTATAGTGCTAATACAACATTTCTTTCGGATGAGGTGATTTAAGAAATTAAAAGATCAATAGGTATAATACCTGATACAATAAATACAATATCAAAAAATATCGCATATCTCACTCTTGTATTATTGATTATATAGAAAATTGAGAACACCAACAACAAATAAATTCTCGATTACAAATTGAAAGTGAGGTTTTATTGCAGAGCAACAGTTCTTCAAACCTACATTTGGAAGAGACGAAGTCTCGAGTTAAAGACTCATCTACTACCTCCCTCAATATAGAAATAAAAAAGAAAGTTCCAAATCTTGGTCTAAATCTATTTGCATATCTGACCCAGTACCTAGCAGTAACTCAATACTAGTTGATACTGATGACTCTACAAAAAAAATAACTAGCGAGAATCTGGATGCATTATATGAAAAAGAAGCTAGAAGAGATGAGAAAAATATAACAAATATGACTCGCCTATTAGCTTCTACTTAGTTTATCTTTTCTTTATTTATGCTACCATCTCTAGAGGAGATATATTCAAGTAGCTTTTTATAACGCATTTGCAACTTTTCACAAAGACTATTTATTTCAGCTTTAGACTGGAGAGTAATATATAGCGATTTTTTTAATACCTCATAGCTCATGAGTTTTTTTTTAAAGTCGAATTATTGCAAATCAATGAGACTTTGTCCCTATCCTGAATCGCAGTTGCATAGTTCACTTCAAGTTTATTCTTGACTTTGTACATAGTTACCGGGATAATAAATTTTTTGTCATTGTAGTAAATCTCTATTTTATCATTGCCCCAATCTATGGTATATTTATATTTCTTGAAAAGCGGATTCGGAAATATTAATATTGGTTTATAGTATTTTACAACTACAAAATCTTCATATATGGTACAACCAGAAGTTAGTGTAATAGGTAATTTACGTATAATACCAATAGATTCAATTGGAATAGTGGCAATACCACTTAGATCATATTTTTCCGATTTATCTATTTGTGTACCCACATATTTAACAATCTCTTCTGTTATAATTGCCATTTAGCACCACTATCAAGTAGCATTGCAGGGATTTTTAGGTGCTTTATCTTATATTTTATAGTTGCAAGGCTTGTAGTAGATTCTTTTTTTTTCTGAATGAAATCTATCTCTATAGGATCGTCTAGTATTTCATCCTTTCTATTCAAAGAATCAAAGATTCGAGTCTTTGCCTCATTGGGTATTTCCGAAACTGGTTCTCGATAATTATTATTGCGAAGCAATGCCCTTTCAGGTCTATTCTGAATAGATGGTAGCTTACTGAAATTAGGTTTAAGACTTTGTAACAAATATAAAGATAATAGTTCTTTTAATATATTCATAACAATTTCACGAATTTCTTCTAGAGAGGTCTGCTTTGATTTGCAATATTTGGGTAAGTTAGAAACTCGAGATTTCGATCTCTCTTTCTTAGACTTAAATTTCTTGGAAATCCGCTTCTGGTTTACTTTTTTTTTGACTTAGTAATATTAACTTGCATACTCTCAGTTTCAGAGAAGGTATTATCAGAGTCAGATTCAGAATCAAAATTATTATTGGAAGAGCTATAATCAGAACCTGAATCAGAACTAGAATCATTGGTAGCTATATTTAATGACATGTCTGCCATACCTTTGATAATTTCATCAACGTTATCGGTATTTGGTGTAATGTTCTTTTTTATTTGTGGTTTTGGAAATAAAGAAAGGGCCTGTACAGAGACAAATTTTGGAGTGTTACCATAAAGCCATAGTAATAATCTATTAATATTTTCTTCATAAATTTTTTCAGATGTTCCTGCAAGTTGTGGTCAAAATTGTGAAAAAATGGGTTGTGAGGTAGGTTGTTGAGATTGTACCAAAATTTGTTGGGTCTGTAAGTCTAATTGAGATTTTACTACATTTTCTATATCACTTATCGTTATTCTACTATTGTCCAAATGTAGGTCAGTTTTTGGTTTCGTTATTTCTTTTGGTGTAATTGTCGATTGGGATGTAATTGGTAAAACTTAAGGGGTTTGATCAGAAATAGAGCCTCTATACAAATTTGAAAAACATTCTAACCACATATTTTTAAGTTCTGTAAAAAATACATTAATACCAGCAAGATTAGCAATTTTCATCCAAGTATAAAGCTCTCCTGATAAATGTCTTTTAAGTAGTCCTAAGATATTGGCATCATTATCAGCAACTCCTAATAAAAGAGGACGAATTCTAGCTTCATAAGTTTCTAGATTATCAAATGGTAAGAATTTTTCTTGTGCTAATCTTTGAGTAGCAACTTGTTGTGTTCTAACTATCTCTGTCTGATATTTATGACGCAACCAAACAATGAAACGGGCTGGGGTATCAATATTATTACCAGCATGTTGAGTGGGTATATTTGTATATTTTCCAGCTATCTTACTTTTTAAAATATCTGCTCGAAGCGGATTATCAAAAGTGGCTGACGTAATCGATAGTAAAGTTAATATTTGATTAATTCTTTGATACCATTCATCTAGTAGAATCTGTCCACTATAATTTGGAATCTGTGCAATTAATGGTGCAATGCTGGTTAAGTCTCCTGCAACTGTAGCCATATTTGGTAGGTTATATTGTAGTACTAAAATTTGTTGATTAAAATTATTAATTAATTGTTCAGAATTTCGTGCTTGAGTTTTCTATTTACCCCTCTTGTTGTTCAGTTGAATATCGGCAAGTAATAGATTATTTTCTAGAGTCTTGCATTTATTTTTCTATTTGTTATATCGGTTTGTTGTAAAATTTAAGAGATGTATAGTAATTGCCTCATTTGTCTTACAATCTTGTAGTTGCTGATAGGCTTTTTTATTTTTGAATCTTAATGCAAAGCTTTCTAGAAGCAATTCAGATATTCAGCTTTTTTGTGTGCGGGTTGTAATTCGACCATCAAGTTCTTGAGATTTAAATATATTGTATTGTGTTCTGTAGGCTTCATAGGCCTGATGAAGAAGATCATAGTCATTTTGAAGTGTAGCTAACTGGATTTGTGAATTAGTTAACTGGATCTGCAAATCCGCTACTTGATTTTCTGCATAAATTGCACAAGTATTTGCCTGCAGATATATATCTAGTACTAATCTTTCAAACCTATTCCCAGTATCAGAAATTATATTAAGATAATCCACAATACCATTAATTGTAGATATTATTGTGATTAGGCTTTAAAAATACCGTCTAATATTATTAATCTCTCGCTAAATCCTATTATTCTGGATAGTAGCTTGGTTTTCTGGCAAAGATAATCTGGGTGATCCTGGTTGTTGTCCCATATCTATAGCAAGATTATGGCTATTCAAATCTATATTATTATTGCCATTTTTATATAAAATAAGTATTTTTATTTTTTCATTAAGCTTGTCTATTTCGTCTTGAAAAATTACTAACCACTTTTCCAAATAGTCTATATAATTCTCTCGACTTTCAGAATCTCGAAGTATTTTTTCCAACCATTCTTTAATATTAGGAATTTTCTGTCATAATAGATCTAGTTCTCCATCTCGAATCAAAATTTCATTTTCGAGATATTTAATGTAACTCTCTTTTAAGTCTAGATCCCATTGTAATTTACAAAATCGATTTTTTATTATCTGCAAACTAGCTTCGAATTTTTTGATTGTTTTACTAGGTGGAGATACTATTGTATCTGATAGCATTGTACAAGCCTATAATATATTGATACTTCTGAAAACTTTACCAAATAATAATTTATTAATATAGTGAAATGTATCAAAAATGAACCAACCTAGTATCATAATTAGTACTGATGAGGAATTGGCTCTAGTTTGCCAGTTATTATTCTATTAACCAACAGGGTATCATTCCAACTCCCGAAAATTATGGAAAAATCTTAAAGCAGAGGGATATCAATTTCTATATAAAAAAGTATATGAGTGGCTTACAAACCAGAATGAATAGCAAAAACATGCCCCACCACCAAAGATACTCCATGGGTTAATTATAGTAAAATTTCACATCCAAATTGTGTATATCAGTGTAACCTCTTGTTTCTTATACATGATTACTACAAAAATAAAAAATGGATAGCAGTACTTAACATAATAGATGTAGCTAGCAGGTTCAAGGCGAGTGTTCCTCTCACATCGAAGAAAAGTTCAGAGGTTGCTAAAGCATTCGAAAAAATTTATGATAATTCCAATAACCCTCTTATATACCCGACACTTCTACAATGTGATAATGGGAAAGAATGGGCAGGACAGACAAGCCAACTAATGAAAGAACATGGTGTAGTAATTCGAGTTATTGGTCCATATTCCTATCGTGGTATAGCAATTGTGAAGAGATTTAATAAACTCTAGCAGAAATACTATATAAAGTTCAATATGCTATTAAAAGTATAACTTTGAACCCTAAACTAATAAGAACATAGGTTAAGCATTTGCCAAAAGTTATCGATTACTTAAACAATTATCCAACACATCTCATCCGAGCTTTAGGTTCTTCAAAGTGGAGTTTAGCTTCCAAGAAAGCCATCAAGTTAGAAAAGGTAGAATCTAGGCTATCAACAAAATATAAGCGTCCAGTTAGAAAAAATGAGGAGAATAAGTTAAAGAAGGGTGATACAGTTTGTTATTTGCTTGCTAATGCAGAGTGGGAGAGAGGTATGGAGAATCAGAAAAGAGCTACAGATCCAGTATAGAGTCCTTCATTACATAAAATCTGCAAAATCGTGGTAACGAAAAATGAACCAGTTTTATATTATTTAGATGGAGAATTCGTACCAACACGTGGGTTTGTATACGAAGAATTAATGCTAATTGATCTAGAAAAACTTCAGTATCTGCCCCAGAGTATATTGGAAGAAATGCTCATTCCAGGTTTGTTAATTTCATTCGTACCATTAATAAAATGGCTAAAACATAAGCTTATATGGAGAAGCGAGGTGGGGAGTGTCTTGATAAAACTAATCAAATAAATGGTTTTGATGTATATCTCTGGTCTTGCGAAAAAGGACTCCATCAATAGGAAGCACCTTATAAGATCTAGAAGTGTAAATTCGAATGGTGCTCAATTTGTCCACATTTCAAAGGAGAGCATTCTGCAAGATATATTTTTGAAGATCTGTTAGGTAAGAAATTTCTATCTTGTAAACCGTCTTTTTTGAATGAGATGCAATTAGACAGAATAACGAAGAGTTAAAATTAGCATACGAATTCCAGGGGCCTCAACATTTTTCTAAAAATCCAATATTCTATAAGCGAGGCAAGATAGACTTAGATAGTCAACAGATGCGTGACTAAAAAAAGCAGAATATATGCAAGGAACAAGGTATAGATCTTATTGAAATTAGTTATGATACGGATTTGTTTCCTTATATAAAAAGCAAATTACAAGAGAAGGGTTATCTACCAAATACAGATATAAATAGTATAACAAAATTAATTAATTCGTTAGAATAAAAAAAACATAATATATATATTTATAACGAAAAGATGTTATATTGTGTATTTGCTGTGGATGAGGTAAAACCTTCAAAAAAATATCAGAGAGATAAAGATATACCAGCATGGCCTTTTCGTATCATAATGGCAGGGCTAGCAATTCAGGTAAGACCAATATGAATTTAAACTTGCTAACAATGCCCAAACTTTATTACATGTTTAAGAAGAAAAAGTGTTCTAAGATAGAGAATGTAATGTTAAATGCGATGATGTAGTTCTTTTTGGACATTATTTAAATAAGCCGAAATATAAAATAGTTCAAAATTTTTATAAATATCTTGCCCAAGACAAATCAAAGCTCTATTATGAAGATATCACATTTTCTATACTGTCTCTTGATAAAATTCCAGATCCTAAAAAGTTTAATGCTAAAAGAAGTACATTAATGATATTTGAAGATCTTTACTCTGACCCTCCAGCTATACAGAAAAAAATTATTCTATTTTTCACCAGGGTCATCATGAGAATATCTCCTCAATTTATGTTGTTCAGAAATTCCACAAAATTCCAATAGATATTCATGAAAATGCTACTCATATTGTTCTCTTCAATGGTAGGGGCTCTATTTAAAAACTTGCAGATATTATAAGTCCTTATACTGATATAGATCTATGAAAAGCTTTAAAAATTATTGATGGCTATTTGAGGCAAAAAGAGTTTATAGTTATAGATTTGAATAAACTCAGATCCAAGTCTTTCTCACTTGATATGATACCTCTCTTGATCTAGAAAAGGAAATAGAAGGGTTAAAAGATAATAAACATTCTATCTAACCAAATCAAGATTTTAGAGATGCAATGAATTTTTAATCTTTTGTACTATCTGTGTTTATATAAAGAACCAAATATGAGTTACTCTCTTATTCTTCTGAAGTTACTTGAAAATATATTCAGTTTCTTGGCTAAGGATAAAGCACTCTATACAGTATTATTTGTCAATAGACTTTGATATTACTGCAGTACCCTGATTCTATAGAGACACATTGAGTTTTCTATAGAAGGTTATCAGCAAAATCGGTATAGTAAAGATATGTCTAGACCTCTTTATTGGCAATTAAGAAAGTTTAAAAGAGTTATATGCAAGATTGG